AGCACTTGTAGTTTTTGAGATTTCGTGATGAGTGAGTCAGTCAATCAGTGACCTATGGCTTTTATAGATATAAGATTTAATTAAACACATTTTGTATCTATTTTTACATCACAATTTATCTAAAGATCCCTAAAACTGCGCTTTAGCGAGACGAATGTTGACCCCAATTATCTAGCACACAGTACAAACCCGCTGGCTTATGTGAGTTGAAATACATAAATATAATACATAGTAATATTTCCATTTAAAACTCGAATAAATAGAACTATTTGATTTGGAGTTGCATTTGTATTTGGATGAAAGTTGAAGTGGGTTAAAATGTGCTCCAACAAGAGTTTTAATGGAATTGATATTTTAGTTGAATTCCAGTTAAAATTCGTTTTTGTTAAATATATTTTGATTAGTTTAGCAATCATTTCATAACAGTAGTAGTTACATGAAAACAGTAGTTCCCTGAAAGTGTTTATTCACTATTTTAATTTACCCCTTCCTCCTTGTTATAGGCAACTTCAAAAATTAGCGTGTAGTTGAATAATTTTGGAACCGTGTACCGGAAAACGCAGCGTGGGACGTTTAGCCACAAGGTGGAACGACGACCTGATAAAGGTAGCAGGAAGGCGCTGGTTGCAGGCCGCTACCAACCGTGCGATGTGGAAGTCATTGGGGGAGGCCTATGTTCAGCAGTGGACGTCCTGTGGCTGCAATGATGATGATGAATAATTTTGATGCTTCTAATTTTAGTTAGGTAGTTGGTTATAACTTGACATTTAGAGATGGTAAAAAAAAACATAAAAGATACGATACTCATTGCAAACATTTTATTCGTTAAAAACGATGACTAATTTGTTTTCATTTCCCACTTTTTCTTAACGAGATCTGTGTCGAGACAAAAGAGAATGACGCCCATAGTCACAAACATCACTATGAGGTTTCACAGTGCGCGTGGACGCACAGGGTGACACACGAACCAATCATAGAGCTCTATTCAACGCTTTGCGTTCGATTTTTTGCTTCACTTGCATCGTTTGTGAATACGGGCGTGAGTCTTGTGATATAGGTCTTCCAGAATCTCATGGCATAAAAAATATTGGAAAAGTGTGACTTTCACATGGCAGTTGTATGTGGCTTTATTTTCTACCAGTCTACTCAGATTTTTTTCAATCTACACTTACATTCCTTCAACGCCCGCATTACCCCACTTGGAATCGAACGTGGAACCCTAAAGCGTTACTCGTTAAAGCCTTTGATCTTCCCCTAAACTTCACCACATTCCCACATTCCCACTGTGGGGTAGTGAGGGTAGTTAGCGGACGATCTAATGTAGTCATTAGCCTAATGGGAAGAAGCATTCATACGGGTGTTTTTTCTGCGTTAACCCTATACTTGGCAAAGACGGTTTTGGTTAATATTTGTGATTTACACTATAAATATTGGATTTAGGACGAGTAAAAATCATGTAAAAAATACGAAAAAAAATCTTAGGTATGTAGTTTTGGAAATATAGTATGTATCTTTAAGTGCACATTGCCAGCTTTGTAGTAAACTAAAAAATGGTTTAATTGTTAGTAAAAATTAGTTATTTAAATGAAAATTACTACAAAACCTTAAGATATTCCTTATTTGAGAAATAAAAAATAAGTATATTTTACAAAAAACTGAAAACAAAGTAAAAAACCCACTTCAAAGTCTGTAACGCCTTGCAAGTATAGCTGCATTTGGATGTATGAGAACCACTCCATCAGCGTCGTTGGAGTACCTCCTGAACCTCACACCCTTCTTAACATCCAGGAGAAGCAAATGCAGATAGGACACATAGGAATCCTGCAAGAGCATTAAAAAAATACGAGGGGTATTGATGCCAACTGGTACCGCACTGTGTTCACGTCTTCGATTGAAGATAATTTGATACCCAACTTACAGTGGAAACGCAAGATAGCGGAAATGGATCTCTGGAACTCTCTGGGAAACTATGCAGCAGTCGAACTGGCTGAAATTCTTCAATCACCAGCTTTATAACCAGAAGCATGCAGCAGCCTGCACAGGCTGCTCGCTTTTTGGGGGTGATCTGGGTTGTTTGGAGTAGGAAGATAACCACCCAAGAGAATCAGGAGGCTAAGTGCGGCTTCTAATTCATCAGCTGAAGTGTCACCGCCACTAACTTTCGACCTGGTTCCAGATTTTGGAACCAGAACCAGCATTTTGCGCGCCTGATTTTGTTGCTGCAGCACAAAGTTGTCCAAAAAACAACATTCTTTATTACATGAATTAAAACTCACATCGGCATATAATTTACAGCTTTAAATATTACTAACTAATAACATGATCCCTTTTTTATGCGATAAAATCTATGAAAAAAATCATAAAATAAAGTCAACGAGAACCTGGCAATGTGTCTTTAAAGATACATTCAAAATTGAAAGTAAATTATTACGTATCTGACAGTGTGCATTTAGAGATACATTCGGACAATCCGCATCGTACAAGAATAATTATACAAGTTTTGTGATGAAAAAACAGCACTATCATCAAGAAACCTTTATTTACTATCCATATTACTACAAATAATCACCAATATTCTTNTTGTGGGAACCAAAAACTTACACTAATCGGACATTGAATGGATGTTTTATACATATTTTTTATTAAACAAAATGAAATAAAACGAAAATTTGTGGCTTTATAATAAAGCAATATAAAAAAATGTTTTTTTAAAAAATTATGATAATATATTTTTTTATTTATTTTATTCCTGATTATTTTTTTCAAAACACATCAGACACGCTGAATTATTACATAATTATCACTTTTGGGCTCTATTTCTGTGTCGAATTTATGAACGCTGTGTTCTGAGGGGATGTCTTCAAAGTTCGAAAAGTATCATGTAAATCAAGCTCTATTTATTTTTCTGCATTCTCGAGACAACGTGCTACCTAATCGTCATATAAATTTTTACTCATTTTGTTTAAATATTGTAAAAACCTATTAATAAGATGTTAGGTGATGAAAAATTCAAGCATGCGTAAGTAACACCCTGGGGTAATTTTCCACCCCACCTACCTGTACAAGCCAAACAGATGATTTTTTTCACATCCCGCGTCTACGAGCTTAAAGCGCACACCCTGCATTGAGAATACACAAAACGACATTGCACTAGCTTAGGTAGAAAAAAAGATATGTCAATTTTTATGCGCCTGGGGTAAAAAAATACCCCACGGTGTTACTTAAGGGTTAAATTAAAATAAACTACATTGTTTCAAAGTAAAATTGTCGATAGTATCGATACTTTTGAATCTAGATTATGACCAATAGTTTTTAATGAACAATACTGATGATAGTATCGGTAGAATTGATTTATATTTGTATGAAGGACTATCGAAAGCTAAATAAATTACTATACCTAAGAACTTAAGAAGTACCTAATAGTATTTTCATAAAAATAGTATCGGACAGCATCGATGAAATCGATACTCTAATCAATATTGTTACTGTTTTTCGAACCCGCTATATTAAATACAGATTATCGATATTTTATACCAAAGCTTGCAGCACTAATTCCGCATCTTTCCAGCTATTTCCAGTTTGAGGCGGTTCGCACTGGATCGTACCAGTCTGGAGCGAGATTGCGTGATTTCAGTTTAATACCCTTTTTGCTTTTAGCTTCTCTGTGTTTTCGCTAAGTTCCTAAAGAATTACTAATGATTTAACTGTTTTTATTCCTTGATTTCACAAAAGTATGAGGAATCGTTTATTTGTTTTTACTATGGTATAGTCTGTTAAATGATGTACGTTCAATATTATTGAAGTTTTTTGTAATCTATTCAATCCCAAAACCTTCGAATGAATTATATGCAATAAAAGATATGAATTAATTTGAATTATGTCGCTTACTTTAGCAATTTTGTTAACTAGCTTTTGCCCACGGCTTCGCCCTCGTAAAATATAGTCTGCAGATCACAGGTAGAAAAACACTGCTGTAAAGTTTCATCAAAATCCGTTAAGTACTTTTAGGATGAAAGAGTAACAAACATACTTTCTTACAAACTTTTGCATTTAGAGGTACTCGTATTAATAATTCGTTTACATTTGATTTCACTCGTCAAATGTTTACGATTTCGAATGAATAACTCTACAGAATCGCACATCAAGTCAAAGTCCGTGTTTTGTAAATCAATTAAAGTTTACTATGCAAAACAAATTAAACTTTTACTACATCGTAAAGTGTACTCCTTAAAAATTTTGATTGGCACGCTTCTAAATGTTTGAGAGCGTCATCAAGCAAACAAACCTTTTATAAGGTTTCTCAAATGAGTATTGTAGAATCTAAATTGTAATTCCTACAGCTTCTCGAAATTGATAATTTAATTTTAGCTGTAACCTTCTTCAATTACCTAGTTAACAAGATTAAACTATTGACTTGAATTTGAATTATCTTAAAGTACTTACATATTTTGTACTGTTTATAACAATTAATAGTATTTTACACCTGTGTGCTTACCATGAGTTTACGTTAGGTGTGCTCGCTAGCGACTGCGAAAAAATGACATTAAATGTATGACAGATTGTACAGTGCCCCTAGCGACTATTTTCAAGAACAAAAATCATCATAGATATTTTTGACGCAGTCGCTAGCACACCTAACGTAAACTCATGGTAAGCACACTAGTGATGTACCTACAAGTTGATTTGTATTGATTGGTATCAATGAATTGACGTATTTTTTTCAACTGTCAAAACGACACTCTTCCATAGATTTTTCAGAGCAATACAAACCGATGACGTCACTATTTTACCAACTCTATTGATTCTATAAATTAAACATTTTTCCTGTTTTATTTTAGAGTGAAAGATATGTTGCCCAATGCTGGTGTAGTGTAAACTTAATGGAAACAAATTCTCAGTCTGTTTGGAATACATGAAAAAGACGTTAACTAAAAGTCAATCTTGTACAATTAAAGGCGTGGATTGATTAAAATTAATTGTTTTAATTTGTTTTGTTTCAGTTGGCGCTATAACTGTGAGCTTCGTGACGAAACCGAACGCACACGAGTTTATTTTCAAACAATTTCAAAGGTGAGTTAACGATTAGTTATATCTAAGTAGCTGACCACTGGCCAGTGGCCAGGCGAACTTCGTACCGCCAATAAAAAGTTGTGTTTACTATACGAATCGCAATACCTATTAATATCGGTTTGAAACCTAATATTCTCGTGAATACGCGTCTTTTGAGCTTTTTTTAAATAACATAATATCTTTACAACTTTTTTTTGCACTTTTTCGTGAAATCGGAGCCTAGAATGGAGCAAAACATTGCCAATGTAGACAGTCCAAAAAAGTGACAAACTAAGGCTGAGTTTCACCTTCTAACTTTGACCGTGACTATAACGATAACCGGTGTTTTTTGTATGGAGTTTGACAAATTGACGTTTGTCAAATAATTGGATGTTGGCAGAGTCAAGCAAGTCCTTACGCTGATTTAATGATTGCATTTTGAAGTACATCAGTTGTGTCCCATATGATAAAAGCTTTTTTGTGAGACCAAATGAAGTTGACAGATGCCAAAGAAATCTTTTATATTATATCCATTTTATTCGTAAGGCATGAACTGTGTTGGACAACTAGTGAAAATTGCATTCTATAGCACAGATATCCGTAAGCGTAACCGAAACTTTCGGATATCCGAAATAAAAAAAGTTATCCGTAACCGAAACCGGTATAATATTATTCCAATATCCGTAACCGTATCCATAACCGAAACTACATAATATCTATAACATCCCTAGTAAGTATTCAAAGAAAACTTGAAATAATTAGCTTGTCACAGATGGTTATTTTATTGGCTATATTCGGATTCGTTATTCAGATGTATAAACAATAATAATGAAAAGTTTCATCATAATCCTTTTAGTAGTTTTTGCGTGAATCTATACTTCTATACTAATTTATAAATGCGAAAGTAACTGTGTCTGTCTGTCTGTCTTGCTTTCACGCCAAAACCACTAAACCGATTTTGATAAAATTTGGGATAGAGATAGATTGAGTCCCGGAAAAGGACATAGGATAGTTATTATCCCTGTTTTTTAATAATTATTTTTCTGTGACAGACAAAATTCCACGCGGACGAAGCCGCGGGCGGAAAGCTATGAGTTATAAATATTCATCCATATTATATCCACTCAAACTTTCGTATTTTCATTATTATTAGGATTTCAGAAACCTGATCGCTTATCAAAATATCTTTCTCATTACCAAAACAAGGTTTCTTACAATATTTAACTAACGGCAAAGATCTTGAATTTCAATTTGAAGAACTCAAAGAAAAATCTAGTTTATTAAAAAAAGAGATTGAATCTCGCCAAGTAATCGCGAAAGACTTAAAAGGTGGGTAACGTCGGGTAGTCGAATAAAAAAGCGCTTATCGGCCGTTTCGGAGATGGTCTGTTTTAGTGCCTTTAAAGTTTTATGTTTGCGACTGTCTGGCTAAAGTTGGGGATGCAATGAGTACTTTTGTATATTTCTTTTTTGCTGTAGAAGGTTCGTACTAAGCTGTGTCCGTGATTTCGTACGCGTGAAAATAGTTTGAATGCTTTTTCCCGTTTTTTCAACATATTTCATTGATCTTTCTATTGAATTATCACTTCACGGGATTTATTGCAACAATATCTATTTTAACGGTAAATAATATTAACGTCGGGAGGGTAAATATTATTTACCGTTAAAATAGATATTGTTGCAATAAATCCCGTGAAGTGATAATTTTATAGTAAAAAATGCAACATAATAGTTTAAAATCTTTCTATTGGTCGAAACGTGATCTTTCGATAATGGACTATCCAAAACACAAGTTTTTGGGCTAGTAGTAGTAGGTTAATTATTCGTAGCATGGTCGAAGCACTCATGCACGGTACGGGATAGACTACGAATGCTACGGGTTTGCTACGGATTTTCTCGAATTGGTACGGATGGACTACGAGCAAACTACGGCTATGCTACGAGTGTGCTACGGGTTTGCTAACGTGTGCTACGACTATTCACATTTTATAATATTGGAAATCATTTCAACTTATTCAAACATGGAAATATTAATCAATCTTGAAAATGAAAAATGAAAATGAAAATACTTTTATTAAATAAACACTTTACAATTTTATTATTACAAAATATGTGCCGCTCTCGTTAACAGTTAACCTTATAAGGTTAACCTGTGTAACGAGTCAGAGGAAACATAGACTAAATCAGTCTTTACATTGAATTTGATCTTTTATTGTACGAGTAAATAGAAAAACAAAACAAAAATTATGTGTGTGATAGTGTAAGTGTGACTATCATTATACTCAATCAATAACAATAAAAAAGACTTTTAATTAAAAAAAAGCAAGATGGTGTATGAGTGTTGCATCGTTTCGGCTTTCTGTGTGCCCCAGACCTAACATTTTATGTGTTAACCTGACAAAGTAACAACACGCCGAAGTGCCAAAACGATATTAAATCCAAACAGCCTGTTTATTTCAAACCTAGATTCGTTACGTGACTGGAAAATTGTTGAATTTTTTTTATTTTTATTAACTTAGTTAGGGGTGGAGTTTCGTAAAATATTTTCTTAGCGGATGCTTATGTCATAACATCTACCTGCATCCGGCCAAATTTCAGCCCAATCCGTCCAGTCGTTTGGGCTGTGCGTTGATAGAGCACTATGTCAGTCAGTCAAGTCACTTACTAACGATTTAAGGTTCTGTCAAAGTTAAACCAGTTAAAGCTCTTTTCAGGTAAATTATCTATTAATTAAAGTTTTATAATAAGAGGAAAGGAATGATTTTGATTGTTTGTTTCAAATACGAGTAGGCTCCGAAACTACTGAGCCGATTTGAATAATTCTTTCATCATTATTTTATTTTGTTATTTTTTTATCCTACTAATACCACAGAATAATAATAAGTAATACTTATACCTGAAGAATAAATTTCAAAAATTTTACTGTTTAGTGAATAAATTAGGTATTTCCTTTTTCTGAAAGAAATTAATAGCTATTTTATACATATATGTACATATAAGTTAAGACAACTTTTTATTGGCTGTACCTACGAAATTCGCAGAGACAGCCCGTGTTTTATATAAAATAATATTAACACCCGTATTCATAAACGGCTTGCTTACTTGATGCAGGAACGCTATGCAAACCCTGTGCGTCCACGCGCACTGTGAGACCCCATAGTAAAGTTTGTGGCTACGGGTGAATGTAGGTAAAGGTGAGTGTAGACTAAACTGTTGCCGAAAGGTGGTCCGCGGAACCCTGGGGTTCCGTGGAAAGGCGGCAAGGGTTCCGTAAAAAATATTATCCCACGTTTCGTGACCGACGTTGTTCGCGCGCACCGACTTGTTTACGCACAAGGGAGGGGCAGGGCGTGCGGGCGGAGAAGTACGGGGGTTCCGCTAGGAAAAGTATAATCAATTAGGGTTCTTTGGCAAAAAAAATTGGGAAACCCTGGACTAGAGCATAAATTTTACTTGTAACAGAACAACGAGCCGCTCAGTGATATGTTCTAGTGTATTACCTTTTCACGAACCAAACGTCGTACATTTTACCTGTATTTTACGATTCGTAAGAACGTTATATTACATTAAAATGCTTTAGTTAACCGACTTCAAAAAAGATGGGGGTTATATGTTCGACTGTATGTATGTTTTTTTTTTTTCTATGTATGTTCACCGATTACTCCGTCAATTGTGGACCGATTTTCAAAATTCTTTTTTTGTTCGATAGGGTACACTTCTGAAGTGGTCCCATTGTCACCAAGTCAGGATCTGATGATGGGATCCTAGGGAATTCGACTGCAACCCTCAAATTTTATAGGCACTTATATCGTTTTTCAAACATTTTCTTAAGTTATTCAAGTATTTGCTCCTGGAAATCATCATCTCAAATTCATGAGCTGATGATAGAAAGTAAAACTCCTTAATGCTTAGGAGTTGGAGGATAATTCTTTTAATTTTATAGATAAGTATAGTTTCTAAAGTTATTCAAGTGTTTGCATCAGATAGCCATCATCTCATCACGATGAACTGGTCATGGTAGATACAACTCCTTAACGCTTAGGAGTTGGAGGATAATTCTTTAAATATTATAGGTACAAATAGCCCAACAGTTGTATTCTTTCATGTTTTTAAGGTAGGCTGACGGTTTAAGGTGTTTTTAGGTTGCCGATATGGTAACCTGTATTTTGTAGGGAATATTATTTTACACTTGACATGAAGAATATACTGCCTACCTTCAGTGGTAACACCAAGGTTATAATTAGTTAACTAAAAAGCAAGAAATAAGTTAATCGGTGCAGGCAAACTTCACACGTTTCATAATCTTGGCACCGACTCCAGAAGTATCAATCATGGTATACATAAATATTAATTCGTCCTAATAAATAAGTAATTAGTTATTATTTTTCTACTTTTTAGTGTATGTTTTTTGGAGTCGGTTTTTTTTTTTTAAAACAAATTTATACCAGAGTCAACTGAAGAGTACTCATTTGTATTTACTCTGTTTATACTCATCTTTACGTAAATTTTGATTTTCCTAAGTAATCCTTGTTTTCTTACAGCGACCGGGACAGGGAGGCTCCCTGGATCAGTGGTGAAGACCCCGGCTTGCAGCATTATGGTGAGTTATGCTTATGGTTACCAACCGACGGGGTTTCCCTGGATTTGTACCAGTTTACGGGGCTCCGGACGGGGTTTCATTTATTTATTTATTACAAATATTTAACCGTTACATCTTTGATTATAGTAAGTCTGGGCAAAAAAACATGTTTGGTCCGATGCAGCCGGGCGACGCGCAATTTTTTTTTTTTTATGTGATAGGAGGCAAACGAGCAGACGGATCACCTTTCAAGAGGAGAGCGTATCTTTATCTTAAAGGCCGGCAACGCACCTGTAACGCCCCTGGGTCTGCGGGTGTCTATGGGCAACGGTAATCACTTACCATCAGGTGATCCGTCTGCTCGTTTGCCTCCTATCACATAAATTAAAAAAATCTTTTTTTTTCCCCAACGAGGAAGCTCTTGGCCTGTATTTCACCTGATGGTATTTTATTTTTAATGAAAAAATCCGGGGTTTTAACACGTTTTGCCCTAGTTACCAAATTATAGAGATAGCAACCCTAGTTATGCTCAGCCAGGGCTTGAGATGAAACGAATTGGAATTTGTTGCTACATTAACTTATAGTTCGTTAGTTGTATTATACATGGTGTTAGGTAAATGGTATCATCGTTCGTTCGTTCGTTCGTTCGTTTCAGCCAAAATGACGTCCACTGCTGGACAAAGGCCTCCTCCGAGGCTTTCCACAATGCACGGTCCTGCGCTGCCCGCATCCAGGCTCTTCCCGCGACCTTTACGAGATCGTCGGTCCACCTAGTAGGAGGCCTGCCCACGCTACGTCTTCCAGCCCGTGGTCGCCACTCGAGAACTTTTCTGCCCCAACGGCCATCGTCTCTACGAGCTATGTGCCCCGCCCACTGCCACTTGGTTTTAGCAATTCTGCGAGCTATGTCGGTCACTTTGGTTCTCCTGCGGATCTCCTCATTTCTGATTCGATCACGCAGGGAAACTCCAAGCATGGCCCGCTCCATCGCCCTTTGGGTGACCTTGAGCCTTCTTATGAGGCCCATAGTAAGCGTCCACGTTTCGGATCCATAAATCAACACTGGCAGCACACACTGCTCGAAGACTTTTGTCTTGAGACACTGCGGTATTTCGGACGTGAGTATATTGCGTAGCTTCCCGAACGCTGCCCAGCCGAGTTGGATTCGACGATTGACCTCTTTCTCGAAGTTGGCCCTACCTAACTGGACTGTTTGTCCCAGGTATACATAATTGTCAACAGCTTCGAGTGTAGAGTCTCCAACCTTCAAAGGAGTGGGTGCGACACGGTTATTAGACATGATTTTTGTCTTGTCCATGTTCATTTTGAGACCCACTTGTTGAGAGGCTCTACTGAGGCCATCGAGCATTGTGCCTAGATCTTCCAAGGTTTCAGCCATGACTACGATATCGTCCGCGAATCGAAGGTGGGTGATGTACTCACCGTTAATATTTATGCCAAATCCGCTCCAGTCCAAGAGCTTGAAGACATCTTCCAGGGCGGTGGTAAACAGTTTTGGAGATATGACGTCTCCCTGTCTTACCCCTCGCTGCAACTGGATAGGTTTCGAGTCCCGATCCTGGAGGCGGACTGACATTGTGGCGTTTTTGTATAAACTTTTTAACACTTCGATATAACGATAGTCAATTTGGCACCTTTGGAGAGACTGTAGCACTGCCCAGGTCTCGACCGAATCGAAGGCTTTCTCATAATCCACAAACGCCAGGCAAAGTGGCTGATTATACTCCTCGGTCTTCTGTATAATCTGCCGCAGCGTATGTATGTGGTCTATGGTACCAAAGCCTTTTCGGAAACCGGCTTGTTCGGGAGGCTGGAAGTCGTCGAGCCTGCGAGCGAGACGATTGAATTTGAAATAAAACTAACTTAATATTATAATATTTACGATAACCAATTACCTGGATCATTGCTACCTAGTGCAATATTGATATTAAATTTTAATAACGTAGATAAGTGTTTCTTTAAAACGGAAAACAAAATATGCATTAAAAATAAATAGAAACCTATTATAAGTTTTTATTTACATTCAAGGATTTAAGAAAGTTTTAGCCAGATCTTACAATAATTGTTTTTAAGCCACAAATATTCCTTAACTCTTTATCAATTAATTCAATAACATATTGTTTTAAATTATAAGTTCCGAATAAATTAAATACCTATTAAATAAGTAAAATTCTTAAGTAACTGTATGATTTTGTATTTCTCACCCTAACTAGCTAAACTAATATCATGAGATTTACACTCATAATATCAACAATAATTGTAGAAAGGGCTACTTTTTTCTCGGGAAATTGCATAGTTACCTCGGAATGTGCGATAGCAATTTTGTGACCCGAGCGGGCAATCGCTAGTTCAAATTTTACACGAAGTCTCATATAATATTTTGTAGTTTCAAATTGACTAAAATGCGACGTTGCCAAACGAGCGCTACGGATGCGGGTAATAAGCAATACTCAATCCTAAATGCTTTACATAGAGCTTGGTTTGCTAGGGCAAACATCTACAGTGATGCGCCGACGCTGCTTAGACCCGAAACATGAATGAACGGGGGCGGAGTTTAATCGAGCGTGTGTGTGCAAACAATTTAGGCCCTTAAGGTGTCAAGGCGTTCGAGTCCCCGATAGTACAGTCGTAGAATAACCTTAGTGTCAGTTTTCGCTTGCAGTAGATACTGTAAGAGTCAAACCTGCCAACATAACCGTGCAAGAAACAGTGCTGCTAACATTTAAATAAATATGACGTTTGCTAACGAATAAGTGGGTCTAGACAAAGTGCAAATTATAATCGCAAACCAGTCGAAAAGTGGTCGAAAAGCTGTTTTTTTGTATGGAGTTTTGACGGTTTCGATTTTTGATTCGATCAAAAAGTGCATTATGTCTAAGGGGGAAGGTTTTGCTTGTTTATTTTTCTATCCCATCAGTGCAATGTTAAAAAATGTAGTTTTTTTATTTAATAGATAATGGCAGGTTGAACCAACAAGAAGGTTTTAGTTTATCAATCATAATAATCTTCTTGACAAGTTAAATCGTCAAACAACTATGATCTGAATAATTTTGAACTTTACTGACGAACAGTTAAAGATTATTTTCTCTAACTCGAGATTATTCTGTAACATAGTTTCAAAAGATAATACAAGTAATAATAATGTGCTCGCGATTCGTTGAAGGAATCAATTTGAAAACTGACGAACCTTTTCATTCGGTGACTGTACATTTTTCCAACACTATAATAACCGATCAGATTCAAAATATTTTTATGATGAACATAAGTTAGATTCTGTGTGTATAATAGGCATGTTTGTCATGTTAATTTTTGTTATTTATCTGCCTATATCTAGCCCTGCTAGCCGCCAGTTCTGTATACAATTTTACTCTGAGTGCAAAACATGTATTAAGCGCCATCTGTTGACGAGAGTTGGTGAGTTCTTGTGCACACGCCAACAGATAGCGCTGTCCACCTTTAGATCGCGGTATCATTTGATTTTTTCCCATTTTAGAAGAGGCAGATAGATAAAAAATTCATTTATGCCCTATACCGACGACCTAGGCATGTCCTAGACGACCCGGACGATCCTATTACCGAAATTCTGAACACAGACATCACTGCCTTAAGCACGCCAACTACTCCACAACACAGTAGCTCGTTACACCGTACTCGCCGGCGAGTACGAGGCCCTGCTTTCCATTTCGGACGGTACAGACATGTACCGGGCCGGTTCTCCCCTATCCGTCCCCCGGACACGGCCTGAGCCGAGGTCCGAGCCTACCGTGGCGCCCTCAGGCCGCGTCCGTAGTCCCCTCGATCGGGCCCACTAGAGTGAGCCCGCCGTAGGCTGGACTTTGGTCCAACACCGCGGTGGGCAACCCTCTAGTTGGGTTCGCCACTGATCGGGCGCCTTATGCGCTCGATACGGCCCGATCGCGAACGTCGGTCTGCGACCATTTATATAAAAAAATCATTTATGATAACAAAAACAACAACAATTTTTGAAAGCGTTCACTTCCTTACAAGTACAAGTGAACGTTGTCATTGAAACTTTTAGGCTGGGTTGCATCATCTTATTTTAACTTTAACAAACGTCAAAACTGTCTGTCAAACTCCATACAAAAAACATCTTAAGGCTAGTCATGGTTAAAACAGGTGCAACTCAGCCTTAGAAAATAAAACAAATCTACTATACATGACCCTTCACCTTCCCCCAAGAATTCCTTGAAAATATTTATTTTCTCGATTGCGTAAATGAAGCCCCTCTAAGGCACAATGTTAGCAAAACAACGCCACGAAAAGGTCAGACGCAAAATATTGGAGAAATATCTTTACTAATATTATAAATGCGATAGTAACTCTGTCTGTCTGTCTTGCTTTCACGCCTAAACCACTGAATCGATTTTGATGAAATTTGGCATAGAGATAGTTTGAGTCCCGGGAAAGGACATAGGATAGTTTTAATCCCGGTTTTTGAAACAAGGACGCGCGCGATAACATCTTTCTGTGACAGACAAAATTCCACGCGGGCGAAGCCACGGGCAGAAAGCTAGTAAGAAATAAAATATGTTTTATTAAATTTTCGTAATGAATTGAAAACAAAACAAGAGGAGGGACAACAAATAAAGTTAAATTTATATTGATTTCACGGGACATTTGATCCCATCTGAAACAGAATGACGTAATTTAATTGCTTTTGTAAGTATTTCCAGTTTCTCAAAATGTTGTTGGTTATTTGGTATGATTTAGGGTCGACAGTATATCAAATAAAACCCTGGAATATTATGTAAGTAGTTGTGATAAATAGATGTAATTATGCAACAAAACTTTTAGTCTGATTGACATTCGATTATAAATATTAAATACTTTATGGAAAAGCTATTAACAGCTGGGACCTCATAAAGGTAGCAGGAAGGCTGAATGCAGGCCGCTGCCAACCGGGCAATATGGAAATCATTGGGGGAGGCCTGTTCGGCAGTGGACGTCCTGTGGCTGAAATAATGATGATACTTTCATCC